CAACAATCTGACCATTTGATTGCAAATGTATGCTAATCCATCAACATTGTCTCCCCATTGCCTCCAAAGCAGTAGAATTTACATGCGTCCACAAATCATTGACAATTATATTTTTAGACAAATTTGACAATTTATTACGATTTCATACGCATGAAAATGTGTTTCCCTAAAATTCATTCATCATTTTTACCAATAAATTGACTTAAAATTTCCTTTTTTTCCTATTTTTAAGGGTCATGAGGGTCACAAGAGTCAGAAACGTCTCAACATTTCTGCCTCATCTGAGGGCTGAATAAACAATATTCCCAAAAAATTTCTATTTAAAAAAAAAACGTGATAATATTTTACCGAAGACCTATAATTTATTTCCTCTCGGTGAGTTCGATTTACATCGTCTCTATGTTTCAAGAGTTTTTCTCATTCAGTCGATGAAAGGGTGGTAAAGGAGGAATGGGCGATGGTTACAGTTGCCAAGTCTAATAAGAACAGCCAATACGTTGATTGCTGCTGGGGGTGCTCCTAGAATAACTCTCCTCTCTCGCGGTTCGCAAAACCCAATGCCAAGCCTCCCTTTGTCTTTGAGGATGGGAAAGGGGATGATAAAGATAGCATATACGAGTCAAACTGAGACCAGATCATACGCGGAAACCAATCAAATCAAAGTAAGTGAATTGGCGAGGGTATACGCCAAGCTCCGGGGCACGAGACTCACCGCACGAATATATCTTCATGTGTAGTTGGAGGCATTATTAAAGCTCCGAGGGCTTGCAGTTCTAAGATTACTGGGGGGCAGGGGACATGCGTCATTTTCTTTTGGGGTCTCGTTATTGGGTACCTTATGGAATTCGTTGGATTGGAAGTTCATGGGATGAATGATGTCAATTCATTGAAGAGAATCTTTCAATAATCAAAAACAATAATATTTTAAGATTTCAAAAGTCGAAATCAAATTTTTTGGACGGCTTAATTCAAGATTTTCATGTCTTACAAGACTTTCAAGTCTTAAGTTGACACATTTAGGTCTCCCCTCGAGACTTTCAAGTTTTAAAGTGAGAGTTTGAAGTTTTAACTTGAGACTCAAGTTTCAAGTTAGGACTTTCAAGTTTCAACTTGGAATTTTTGAAAATCTCAACTTGAGACTTTCAAGTTTTAGTTTGTAACTTTCAAGTTTCAACTTAGGACTTCTGAAAGCTTTAACTTGAGGCCTTCAAGTTTTAACTTGGGACTTTCAAGTCTCAACTTGACACTTTAAAGTTTTAATTTGGAACTTCAGTTTTAATTTGAAACTTTAAAGTCTCAACTTGAGACTTTAAAACCTCAACTGAAGGCTGTAAAGTCTCAACTTATGATTTCTACCTCTCAACTTGGAACTTTCACGTTGACCCCAAGTCAAAAACTTCTAAAAAAATATCCAAAGAGTCTTAATTTCATCTTCACTTCCATCGACATTTTTCCAACAATTGCGTGTTAAAATACCAGCCGATCTACGCCGAATCCTCGAGAGTTATTCTCCCTCAGAGATATATCAGGCGAGTAAACGTTGAACGAAAAACGCCCGGTATTTCTCAAGAAATGCCCAAGAGGTAGGGAAATATTTTCCCCGAGCTCACTCGTTGGATGTACTGGGCTCCTCCTTCCACACCGCCACTATTTTCTTACCCTTCGCACACTCCTTTGCATTCCATTTCACTGTCTCTCCGTTGAGGGTCTCTTTCCCGGCCCTTTCGTAGTTTACATTTTCACGCTGCTTGCTGAGAGGTATGCATAGGCACCCCTTGCGATTCTACACCCTTATCCATCCACCGGATGATACCCATTCCATGAGTTTAGCATTAAATTCAGTCAGCCCCTTGGTTGAACAGCTACGCACGCTTCTTTTTCAAGCTCTCACTGCATTTCTTTAATATTTTCTTCATTTCATTCACGAAAAAGAAATGACTATTGAAGAATCAACTCTCGTAACCTTGAGTCTTCTAGGAATTTTCGTCCCTCATTATGCGACGGAATAAAAAATCAATGTAAAATGAATTGTCAAGACATCAGACTTTTCCGCACTTCATGAACCGCATGAACTGCGTCTCCGGATCGTGATGCTGAGATAATCTTCATCATAAAAGGAACCATTAAATTTTCAAAGTAGTAAAAATTCTTCGCATCATTCCACCCTAAAATTTCGATAAGATCCCTCTCCATCAAAAATTCAAGAAGTCAGAGAGCGCCCGGATTCCAAGTGTAATAAGACGTTAAAAAACCGCGATATATAACCATTTAGAGGAAAAAAATGAGCTCCCCGTTCTGTCACATTTTCTACTTTGCCGAGACGTATGGGGGTGGCTTAATTGGGGGAAGCCCTCCTCCTTTATTTATAACTTCGAGAAGTCTGTAGGATCACGTGGCCCTCGGGAGGTGCCTCTCCCGTTCCAAAAGAGTCGGCGAGCCCAGAAAGAAGGGCGAGAGGAGGGGGAGGGAAGGAGAACGAGTATAACTGGGGGGTTGACAAATAACCCTTATAAACGTAGCGCCATAACTTGAGCCCGCACCCCGAAAACGCGGGCATGACAACTTGGAATGAGAATCATGGTGGGAGCCAGTGGGAGAATGGAGAATGAGTAGCATGAGAGTGGTTGGAGGAAAAGCTTGGCTCTCGGACCACTTGATTAGAGGAGGTGGTGCATTTACCGTCCACCTCAAGGAAATCGTTGTATTTTTTGACCCGAAACGATTTAAAGTTTAAATATTAAAAGAACAGGCCTTTCATTTATATGGAACATGATTCATTGACGTGCAATGCAGTTCTTTTCCGCAACATGCCTGCGGAATGTCGCGACGTGTCCATGTAATGTCGTGATATGCCCGTGTGATGCAGTGACGTGTGACGGCATCGCATATACATATCGCGACATTTCCGCATAATGTCGTAGAATTCCCGCGCAATGTCGTAATGAGACCGCGTAATGTCGCGACATATGACGGCATCGCACATGCTTGCCGTGACATATTTGCGGATTGTCGTTACAAACATATAATCGCCTCGAATTATACCAACTTTTTAATTAAATATTTATAGTGAATCTACTCATTACGTCAAGGAAAATGATTTTTAAAAAATTTATAAGATATAATGGTGAGTGTTATTTCCCACTGAGCGGCACTGAGCCTCCCCTAGTATGAGAATGGTTGGAGAAAAAGCCCGAGATGAGGGATACGGCCAGTTGGGCGCCGGGCCACTTGATTACGTCCCGATAATAAACATGATGTCTGATATCAACTACACTATTTTCTCGGTTTGGCCACTGTTATATCCTTTACATTTTGGATGAAACCAGCCACTGCCAATAACAGATCGTTGAGGTTGATAGGATTGTAAATATGACGCGTTTATTGCGTCGAATGATTCGTGGTGGTTGTAGGTGTGATGAAAATGTGGGTAAAGTTGGGATTGTGTGCGGCATGAATCGAATGGGTTTGCAGGTTCCTATGGCAATTGGGCATGCCTGGCATCGCAATCACGAATCATTCGGACCGGTCACGTTTACGTCCATCCAATTGTTCATCATCTAGCCCGATCCTCTCTTCTTCTCGGTTGTTTTTGTTTTTTTTTGTCCGGAAATTTTATGACTCGATTTCGGACGTGGTTTATCATGCCGATGGTTAATGTTCAATCCGGTTAATATTCAGGGGTTTATGACTTCTGGGATTGATGGGCAATTTTTTTGTAACTGGGATTTTTGTGAGAATAGAATGATTTTGTGAAATCATCAAGCGGTGTTAGAATTTTCAGAGAACTAATTCAACTAGAAAGCCAAATCGGTATTGCAAAAATATTCATAAGGGTCAGAAAAAACGAAAAACAAAAAACAAAAATTTAAAAAGTCATTGGAAAAAAATTAACAATGGGAAAAATTTCAACTGCATTACCCTCAAAACCCAAGGACTTTTAGTAAAAAGTCATCAAGAAGTTTTCTCTTTTTATCAAATTGAGATAATTCATTCTGGCACATGAAGTACAAAATGCAAGATGCCAAGTGGCATGTGAGTATGTGTTACTCGAGAACCAGCAGGGTCCACAGGGTAGATATTGTACGAAAGTGAGACCAAGTAAAAGCAATGCCAGTATAGAGGTGAAACGAGCGTTTTACGAGGCAGTAACGGCCGATAAGGCGAACTTGCGCCCCCCCGACGGGGCTTATTCCACTACAGCACCCAAGTGGCTGTTCAACTACCTATATCCCAGCCACTGGGTACTTTTCTCGTTTCCACGTTGAGTCTCTATATTTCGGCTGCACTCTGCTTTTTCCTCGCGCACTTGCTCTTTTTTTTTCAACATTTTATTTTCATCACGGACTCTTCACCCTAATTTATAAGAATCGTTACATTCTTTTGATGTGAATTCCTCGTTAATTGATGCTCTTAATTAGCCATTGGTTATCGCCCGGAGGGAGTTGGTATTCAACAGTGGCGAATTAAGCTTCCAGTTTTGGAACGTCAATTATTTTTGGCTTTACCTTCGGTACACGAATGGAATTCGAAGGCCAATTAATTTAAAAAGTTGTCGCGAGGTACTGGACACTGTTATATACCGGCTCGATTAAAAGTAAATGCCGGAATACTTTGGTGATATATACGTGGAGAGGAAAATTACAGAAAATTTGCAGACGGGGAATTTTATGGGACATTATGCGAGAAGTATTACCATGCATGCTGAGGTATTGATGTGCCATCCTGGCCATTTCTGCCAGAAAATATCCTGACATGTCCGCAAAATGTCGGGATATTTCCGCATAATGTTGTGAAGTTTTCGCATGATGTCGGGACATTTCCGCATAATATCGTGAGATTTACGCATAATGTCATGACATTCCCGCATCATGTCCGTATATTTCCGCATAATGTGCCGAAATATCCGTGCAATGTCATTAAATGCTACATTGCGTAATTTTTCTCCGCATATTCACGTATAAAGCCAATACTAATTTCCTTCTCATTATTATCTGCTTCAGGTGCAAATGGCTTACGTAGACGCGGCCGACAGACATACACACGTTATCAAACATTGGAACTGGAGAAAGAATTTCACACGAATCACTACCTCACAAGGCGGAGGCGGATCGAAATGGCGCACGCGCTATGTTTGACGGAAAGACAAATAAAAATATGGTTTCAAAATCGGCGAATGAAGCTGAAGAAGGAGATACAGGCGATTAAGGAATTAAATGAACAGGAGAAACAGGCACAAGCGCAAAAAGCAGCAGCAGCGGCGGCCGTTGCCCATCAACAAGGGGGTGGAGGACCCGACGGGGGTAACTAGGGGTACGCCCTTCACCGGAGCCCCCCTGATCACTCAAATGCCAATCCACACCATCCACTGCTAGCACCACAATGTACACAGCTATATTAAGGTGAGTTTTTCTGGAACAATTTTGATGAACAAATCGTTATCGGAAAATTTACAACTAGTCCGTCTTAATCCGTTTGTACCTCTGTTCTCCGAGACATTCATTACTTTTTAATTGCAACCGTAAAGAATTAATAAACCATTTACGTAAAGACTCGCAAATGAACGCACATAAACAAGCCTACATTCTGAATAATTCAAGACTCTATCGTCGTCAATATCATTTCACATCAATCAAAACCATGGCGTTAGTTAGCTTGTTAATTAAGTATCGGAAAAAACTCAATAAACATTCATCATTAACCGATCTAAAAATTGAATTCTTCGAATTTTTTCATCAAATTAAAAAAATATTGGCGGAACACTGAGTCTATTTGGAGCCACTTTTCAATTTCTGATTTCTGGTCATCGTGATCTTCTTCAAACATGCGGTAATAGAACTTCATGTGAATATGCTTCGTCCGGAAAAGCTTTGAAGGGTTTTCAATCTAGAAAATTAATAGACATTTCAGTTTGTGTTTATTACATTCGTTTTTTGGAACTGTTTTCATCTTAGAATAGAAGATTCATTTTTCCGACAACATACTCCGCTTGAATGAAGACACTCCCAACATTTTCCGCTGGGATTTTCATGTCGGGTTTGAAATTTCAAGCCAGAGGGTCGTAAGGGTCAGGATAATGAGGGCCGTAGGAGTCGAAATAAGGCTCAGGATCATAAGGGCATGAGTCAGAAGTATAATAAGGGTCATAAGTAGAATTTATTATATTTTTCGATCACCAACTACAATGATTTCCGTGTAATACAGTCACTCTAATAGTCACGCCAGCAGAATAGACTGACTCGAATGAGGAAGAGGATCAGACCAAAAACCGATCTCGGTATTTGTCGTACGTATATTGCCTCGCAGAATTCAACTTTACGACTATTTTCGATGACTCCGGTCCGTTAAACTCGAAATTCCCATGAATCTCAAACCACGATTATAACTCCATTTACCCGACGGTGCACACGGCACACTGTATCAAACCCATACGTCAACGTGACATGGATTGGTCAGGGGAGGGCAATTTACCCCCCGCTGAAAGTCCATGCCTGTACGCACTGTAATTCCTTGTTTATTCGACACAAGTTATTTATCGCAGCGCGTCCAGTCATGCGGCCGCCGGCAAAGAGCGGAAAAGACGGCACTCGCGATCCATCTGCATATCCCAAGTACCTATCCAATACTCGGGAGAGCCATCCCCTCATTCAACATCTCGAACGATATCTTTCGACGGTATATCTAATGAGGCTAAACCGCGCGCAAGCGTGCGCCTTCATAATTCCCTAAGTTATTCCATTCGCGTGCGCGAGCACGCCTGCGTTTAACACGTACCTAAAAAGAGATAGTTCTCTCCGCCGACGGTTCGTTATGTGTTTAACGCTGAAATGTTGCAGCTTCGTGATTCAACGCGGACTTTACTACTTCTCTGCACTCGATTGCACCGTGTGAGCCCAGAGGTTTTGGCTTACCGCGACCGCGGAAATTTGCGGAAAAATGGAGGAGAGCCCTGATCCATTCCCTGAACACGAAAATTTTAAATTTTCAAGTAATTATTTCAGTGTGCATTTGGATATTTCTTGGATATCAATTTTTTTTGCCAGATTGATTGATTTCAGTCACAAATGTCATTTTAATTTTCAATGTTGTGAGGTTGAATTCAATTTCAAATGAAAAAGTTTATTAAATTTCTCATTCATCGTGAAAATTCGAGGAAATTGGATTTTTCATGTTGAAGAATGATTGATTTTTCAATGAAAGCTTGAATTTACAAACTCATCGTGGTTATTGCCTGAATTTTCTAAATTTTCAAGGCTTTTCAGCGCCGTATGGATCTGAAAATCGAGAATTACTTGAATATTCAAGAAATCAACTGATTTGTCAATGAAGAATTGAAAAAAATTTTAAGAACTAAAAATTTCAAACTGTTTCACTTGAAATTTCATTATTTTACAATACTAAAAAATATTCAAAAATTCCCAATTATGCAGCACAACCAGATATCTCTCCCACTAATTTTTCATTTTTTTCATTATCTAAATTTGTCACATGCAACACCCCAAGGGGTTGCATTCTAACTACCAAAAATAGGGGCTTCAATCAAGAATTTTTTTTCAAGTTACAATTTTTCTCAATTCCCCGGGAATATTATAAACATTACCTATAAAAACTATAGGAACAACCCTAAGAAAATCCAGTTTTCTGGGGATACACCTTGATTAAAATTATTTTCTGATTTTTAAATCGGAATATTTCATCTCGATTTCATAATAAAGCCTATTTTTTCACGTGCACGCTCTCCGCACAATGGCAACCTCATCACCGCACCCACCGAAAGCACACGCGTCACGGTCGAACTGGACCCACCACTCCCCCGAACGTTTGTTTTTCCGCAAAAAATCCAAGTGCCCACAAATCGTCAGAGGGACATTAATCAACACTTTGTGGTGCACGATTCGTTTATCAAATTTACGATCGTTAGTCGCGATATCACCGCAAGATCTACCTTGAGTACATCCGCATCACGCAACGCACAAAAACTCACGCCCGTGACTTGTATTCTCGTTTCTTTATTTCATTTCTTTCTGCACTCCACCCCAAACCCTCTGGTGAGTCGTGAACGGGGGGGGGGGAGGTAAAAAGTGAAACGTCCGACTTTTTTATGAGGCTCATTGCTACCCTTCGTACGGCATCGAGGAAATACCGGGGAATGTTTTACGAGCGGCTTTTTGAGAAACTTCGTCAGGATGCAGTGCAGGTAAAGAGAAATTTTCATAGCCGCCAATTCTCGGATCCTTCCACGCTGACCGTTGCTGTCCACAAAAAATAGTTTCACTCAATGTTGCATGGGGCACGGTCGTAAAAAAAGGTACTCGGGTTTTCCGCACTTTCCCTTTTTACAATTGAGGCGAGGAATTTCGAGGTTTTTATTTTTTGGTTTTAGAATATTTGAATGTGAATTGATGAAACTGAAAAAATGAGGAGTTTTAAGATTTTAAGGGTCTGAACTTTATATACCCGGGATTTATCGAGGTAAAAGTCAGAATTGTAGCTTATATTTTCACATTAATTAATAATTTTCATTATCATGTGGATCTGAACATTGAAATTCCATTGAATACTCCAGAATTCAAATGATTTTTTAATAACAAAATATGCTGTTAAAAATTTTCGTCTGAATTTTCTGTTCAAATGATCTGGAAATCAATAAAATACTTGATTTTTCCGTTCAATTATTCTGTGAAAATTCAGAAAAGTCAGGAAAATTCAGGGAAAAATTGAAAATTGATTTCATTTTGTTTCAGAATACTCATGTTCTACTGAAAACTCATGAATTTCCGTCAATTCTACTAAAAACTTCAAATTTCATGACGATTTTTTCCCTAAATTCGATTCAATGTCACTCCCATGAGATTTACTATAATATCTCCCACAAAATTTCAAAAAAATTCCAACAGTGTACATGAAAATTTCATATGAAATTTCAGGAGTAATTTTCTAACAATGTAATAGTCACCTTTTACCGACTGATAGATTCGAAAAATATTTTTCCAAATGCCTGTGGAACTCGTGAAAATGATCAAAATACTTCGGTATTTTGCAGAATTCAACTTTACGCCTATTTCCCGACAAACTCTGTGTCTTTGGACCAAAACCCGCGCTTTCTCCCCCCTTTTGTCACTCGTCGCTGAAAAATTTCTCGTCAACGATCCAATCACAGTCAGTCGGAAGTTGCCTTAACCCCAGATGTTTTCAGAAATAACGACAGTCGCCGTCGGTTCCTCACACACGAGTTGCGAGCGAAGAGTGATGATAGAGACGCCATGAAAAAACGTCGTGAAAAGACTAGTTGTAAGAAAAATTAAACTCCGGCGATTTGTGAGCCTCGGATATCTGGTTAAATATTTTCTTTTTTATTTATCAGACCCCTGTCACGCCACCTCTATTCTTAGTCCCGAAAAGACAACATTCATGAACGCAACGCGATAAATCATTGGGAAGAGTTTCCAGGTCGGTTGAGACATTGTGCGAGCATGTATGAAACGGCAGTGCCATCGCGATAACTATATAAATCCATAGAGTTTCAATCTCCCCGTGATCTTATGCAGATGGAGAACGATTTCGTACCGTAGAGTTTATGGAAATTCACGGAGTTGGCATGACACTGTTACTCTATAGCTTCCGGGTTGGGACTGCGGAATGAGCGATGTTTAGAGGTATCCCACGATGAAGGACGAAAAATACTGAAATTGGATTGAAATTTATTCGATTCGAATCTGATGGGCTCCGGCATGAATTCATTTCGAGCTGACGAGAGTCGGATTTCTCGAGTTTTTTACGTATTACGTAAGTTATTGATGTGTTTCCTAATATGAAAATCCAGGGTGAGGTGGTTCCTCCAGAAGAAGGTAAAATTAAGTTTCCGAGTCCAAAAACTTCGCTGGAGGCAAAACCGACGAACACGGAGATCAGTTTCTGGTCTGATGTTCTTCCTCACTCGAGTCAGGTATTTCGATGATTTTTTCAAGTCCCACAGGCCTTATAATCCTCGTGACCCTTATGAACTCCTGATCCTTTGACAAAAATTCTGTTTGTCATTTCTCTAAATTCCCGTTCCCCCATTCGCATTGAATGTATCATGTTGACGGACTTTCCCAACTCTGATTGCTCCATCACTTGCCTCAGCCAACACAATACCTACCAAAATGACCCCGTTCGATCCATGAATTCCCCTCATGACTACGAAATGAGCTATGAGGCAATGATTGCAACCTCACGACACTAAACCCCTCCAACCCTTTCCACACCCCTAAACGATCGCCGTAAAACCCACATTCCCCCGAGAAAATCCTTCACCAGAAAAAACCATAATCCGTCACCAGAAAAAGCCATAATTGAGTTCTTCAGAGCCTCTCACCCAACCGAAATGACTGAATCACCTCGATTGATTCATCAATCGCCT